GATAGATAGATAGATAGATAGATAGATAGATAGATAGATAGATAGATTGATTAGCCTGTGGGATCATTTCTGACCTGTCGGTGCTCCAGGATGATCTTAGGCAGAGGGTGGAGGTCCTGAAGAAGCAGCAGCTAAAAACCAAAGAAACAACACAATCCGTTCACCATATAGCTGTGGCAGCTATATAAATACAAAACAGGTCAAAGGTCACAGGTAGGCTGGTCCCGATCCGATATCTGGATCGAATCGGCCGCCGATATTTGCAAAAAACTGTGTATCGGCCAGAAAATGCAGATCCAGACTCTCCAGATCCAGTTTTTTTTAAAGTCTGATCCCACATTAGCATTAGCATCTGTAACCCACAGGTCTGTGTCCTAACCATTAAGTTGTTATCAGAGTAAATCCCTGTTCAACATGAGTCTGACAACTAAGTAAGTAGATAAATAACTTTAGACTTTAACACATGCTCTGATAGGCCGGGATCGGGATCGGATCGGAAGTGAAAAAAGCTGGACCTGGACATCCCTAGTCACAGGACACCGTTTTATTTCAGAAACTAAAGGGAAAGAACACATCCGAACACCCTGGCAGGTAATAGCTTTTTGGATATGAGCAGAACATGGCCGCCATCTTGGATCAGGGGCAAGTCTTTCCAATGGGAAACATCAGAGGAATAAAGAGCTGGAATCGGATTTAAAATATTTTCTGTGCTTCTAAAGACGAAACATCTGGACCTGCTTGCCTGAGATGCCCAGCTGTGTACAGCTTTTAACCCTATAATGCCAAATGTGTCATATTTGATTCATACGGTTTCTGAAGTCTTTTGGATCTGAGACTTTTTGCATCATTCAGTGGTAAAAGCTTTGCTCAAACCCCTGTTGTACACATTCAGATATACCTGATAACAGCCAGTAGAAGACTACACCAAAATATATTTTTGACTTATTGCACGCTAATTTGATCAAAATAATTTCTGTTTTTTTTTCTTCATATGTTGTTGAGGGGCCAAAGAAAGACTTAAGACTAAAACAATCCAATATTATTCCTATTTTTCTTGCACGAAAATATATTTTTGACTTATTGCACGCTTATTTGATCAAAATAATTTCTGTTTTTTTTATCTTCATATGTTGTTGAGGGGCCAAAGAAAGACTTCAGACTAAAAAAAAATCCAATATTCTTCCTATTTTTCTTGGATCAGGCTTTAAAGGCTTAACTGTGTGTTCAGAACTCTGGACTGGCTATATAAATGAGTGAATAGGACAATATATTTGTCATAGTGATGAGAAATGTAATATTGTGTCTACTCTGTAAGTCGCTTTGGATAAAAGCGTCTGCCAAATGCATAAACATAAACATATAAATCCATCAGAGGGACCTGGTGTTCCTGGATTGTGTGTTTTTGCTCGTTTGTGCGTTTTACTGCAGCTTCTGATGTGGACTGCTGTTGTTTGAAGGTTTTGGGCAGCTTCTTGCTCTCGCAGCGCTCGTGGAGGCGGAGCTTCTCAAACAGGACCTTCAAAACACGCGGAAAAACAAGCTATGGATGCCGAAAATATCAGAAAAGTCGCACTCGTTTCCGCGTTATGCTAATTACCGTCCGTAGCTGAGAGCTGCTGGTCACCAGGAATATTTGTCCGGCTGCTCGATGGGCCTCCTGCTCCAGCTGTTTCATCTTAGCCTGCAACAAATATTAGCCCAGTTATTCTATTTTGACCTCAAATTCCAGGAAGGTATGGATGGAGAAAGGGGCCACAATCCAATAAAAAAATATAACATAAAATAATGAATTCAACAAAACCCAACAAAATAATGTCATTATATAACACTGTAATTCCAATTGTAAATGTATATGCCAAATGCTAAATGTAAATGTATATATTTGATAAATACGGTTTCTGAAATGTTTTGCGTCTGACTCCTTTTGCATAATTTAATGGTAAAAACTTTGCTCAAAATCCTATTGTACACAATCAGATCTACCTGAAAACAGGGGGCAGAAGACTACACAAAAAATAATCTTGACTTATCGCATAGTAATAAATTATTAATATAAAAAATGTTTTTCTCTTTTTTCTTTTTACATATTTTGTTAGAAGGCCAAATAAAGACTTCAAACCAAAAAAAAGTAATTTTCTGTTTTGTTTCATCCTTGGATCGGGCTTTAAAGGGTTAAAGAAGACGGGAAATTAATAATTCAACGCACAATTAGATATATAATTGACTAATATATTCTCAATAACTGCATTAATAAATAAAATATGTATTAATTGTATCTGTAAGTGATAAATAAATCTGTGGGTTAGCTGAGCAGACGTTAAAATGTTATGAAACAGGACAATAAAGCTGAAACTTTTTAAGTCTCAGACCTGAAAACGAACCCTCCAGGAGGAAAAAAGGCTTCAAAAATAGCCTAATTTCTTCCCCATCATCAACCGAAAACAAATTCAAACAGAATAAACTTGGCTTTTCCAGGGAGAGAGAAACTGAGTTATTTAACAATCTGACGGGCCGACAGAGACCCAGAAAAGAGGACATTTTAAGTACGGAGGCTGAAAAGAAGTAAAAAAGACGAAAGGGAACGGGTGAAAAATGAGGAAAAAGCTACAGAAATAAAGCTGAATCTGAAATAAAAATCAGCCAGACGAGCAAAACACGAGGAAGGCAGAGAGGGAGAGAGGAGAGAGGCTGGTGGCAAATGTGAGGAGAAAGGAGGCAGAAACTGACAGGAAAATTCAGGTTAGCCGGCGGACGTGCGTCCCCAAATTTCCGAACGGGCTCTTTTCTGGACGCTTTGCCCCGAGCAGACTCCAGACGACTCATCAATGATGGATGCCGGCCTCTGAGCAGAGAGCTCAGACGGGCAGAGCCTCAGATTTACCGCATCAGAGGGCTGAATTCGAACGGTGAACCGAAAAGAATCGGGGCTTTTTTCAGAGGCCAGACACACAACAACCAGACAGACTGTCCTTGAGATTTTTCTCTTCTGGTTCTTTGTTAACTCATTGGCTGCCAAAGACGTCTATAGACGTCTTTTATGTTTTTCAACGAGAGTGGCTGGGGGACGATCTGCTAAAGCTTGTCCGTAAATATCGGCTTCTAGACAGAGTATGTAGTAACAAACTGACCCTCTAGGGGGCAGTGCCACTTTTGATGGGAGATGAGCATAGACTGTAGGCAAATAAGAAAAAGGTAACGGTTCGCTATGAGAGAACATGTCGCCGGTGAGACGCAAGTCCAGGAAGAACGGAATAAGGTAGAAACAAAAAAAATTTCCTGATGAAAGAAGAGAGTCTACTCTTTCTTTTGGTGTGTTCAGTGTTTACATAGTCCTAGCACAAACTATTCTGTGGCTCTTGAAAAATCAGTCAAAATGCTCAAAAATCTCTGGCAGTCAATGAGATAAGGATACCTGGTTGTTAATTCTTTTAGGGAGAGTCGTCTCAGGTTTTAGCACCAGTAGGAAATGCGACAATTTCCCTAATCCCATCCAGGATGAATCTCCCATTTCTGTGTTTATCATTGAAACTGTATAGGGTTGTCACGATACTAAAATTTTGAACTCGATACCGATACTCAGGAAAATATTCGATACTCGATACCATTTTCGATAAAAAAAGACCCCAAAATTTTACTGAATTTTGACAGGTTAGTGTCTTTGGTTTCAAACTGACCTGTTACTGAAGTTATGGTGGCCGGTGGCCCACATTAATGACCCTAACCCTAACCCTAACCCTTACCCTAACCCAGTGCTTCTCAATTATTTTCTGTTACGCCCCCCCGGCAAGACAAAAAAAATGTTCGCGCCCCCCCACTCCCCACCGTGACTATACATCTCTGAATAACATTTGATCCTTATTAACATTAAAGAAAAGGAAAAAAGAAAGACATATGGTCAAACTTACAACTTTATTAAATCGTGTTTTAAGTCTGCAACAGAAAAGATTTTAACTGCATCAATGCCTGAAATTAAATTTAAAAAATCCTTGTTTAAACTGTAAACATGTTTGACCAACTAATTGCACCGTTGCAAAATTAAATCAAAATCAATAAATAACATTTAATAATTATAATAACCAATAAACTACAAAAACAACAAAAATAATAACTAATTTATATTCAGTTCAGCAACATTAACTCAGGAGCACAATATATAAAACACTTAGCATTCGGGTGACTTTCTTTTGTCTCGTTATCTTTGTCTCACTCCGTTTTTCTTTTCATCCTGTTAAAACTTTTCCATGTTGGGGGGGTTATGTTGAATAACGGAGGCTATGTACAGAACAATCGGAGCTGCTAACCGAGGCTAACCTGTTGTATTTTAAGTCCTAAAATGTTGCACTGACGTAACGATGAGAGCGCCACTGCCCCTACTGGAGTGGATGCGCAATTACACTTTATACTAGTATGGCCCAAAAAAAAGGCTCTTCCCCAGGCTCACACGCGCCCCCCCCCAGGTAACGCCCCACGCCCCCCAAGGGGGGCGCGCCCCACTATTTGAGAAGCACTGCGTTAGGGACAGAGCATAAGTCAACGCCAACTATCTGAATTTTCCGGCCTCTTAAATGAATCACTGGAGAAAGATGTCTGCTCGGGCGTGAAAGCGCTCGTGGGAGCCGTATTTCCCTCCTGCTGCTCGTTTCTGCTGGTTTTTACAGGACGCCGTTATGGGACGCATTTAAGGAATCAACCAAGCTGCCTACATGTTGGTCTGATATTTTACATTTATTAAAAATATATATGATATATTCGGATACATTACATCTGGTTATCAAGACTTTTTAAATGTTCCTGGTATTATTTATAATGCTAGTGTTTGAAATCATCACAAACTCTGGTTTCTTATCCATTAGAAGATCTGAATAACTGAGGATTTGAGATTTTCTTTGCAGCATCATATTGTTCAGACGCTCCGTAATGAAGTCAAACGGTGATGAAAAAGGAAAATCAGATCATCGAGCCGCGGCGGAATAAATATTTCAAATCTAAATGCCAGCTGCTTTGCATATGTCAGGTCACCGCTGCACTTTGCCGTCATAAAGCAAGAACACATAGGGTGTTAATCCACAGCCTCGCCGCAGGTGCGTCATCCTGTTATCTGCATCATCCTTTTTAGAGGTTCAAACCGCAAAACGTGAGAAATAAATGAAGAAAAAATCAACCTTTTTCTTTTCGGTGTGTCATGAGTTTTTCGTCTGCAGAAGTTATTCCGGCTGTCACGCCTCCACATTCCTCCGTGGGTGATTGGATAGGCTTTCAAGAGACAAAAGAAAATGGAAAATGCACAGAGGAATATTTTCCATAACATCTGTTTCACTCAGTATGCAGAATCAGTTACCCCCCCCCCCCCCAAGACTCATTTCCCCTCTTTATTTTATTTATTCGGAGAAAAGCGAATATTGTCTCACGCGCCACGAGGTGCACCTAGGAACCCCCCGCGCATGGCTAAATGGGAACTTTTATCGCCGTCCCCACCAAGAATGGCAATTAGCCGCGGTAGGCTGGGGGGAAAAAACACGCGGAAAAAGTTGGTATGCAGAGAGCCGTGCGAAGTTAATGGACTTTTAAATCGACGCGGCGCGCCCGAATTCCCTCATTAATGCCGTCCCTGGTCCCTGCCCACACGGCCGTTTGATTTCAAAGGTCAGCTCTCAAATGTCAACTTAGGAACGGTAAATAGAGTACACTTTTATGACGCACGCGCCGGGTTTTCAAAGAATGGGGAGTGAAAGAGTGGCAAAGTGAAGAGGCCCCTTTATTCGTCGTTCTGTGTTTACTTTTCTTGGTCTATTCAAGCCCCGGACTGCATCTTTTTTTTTTTGCTTTCACCGATCACGCTGAATGTTTTGATGCTTCAGTCAAATAAAATGTTTATTCTTAAATGTTGCGTTTGGAGAATACAAGATCCAAACGCGGCCCGGATGGGCACCTCGAGATATGGAAGGTAAAACAAATGAAGAAAAGTGATAAATAAATACAACTACATCTCTGACAGCCACACTAAACAGATCTCAGACTCAGAGAAAAAACCAAAACAGGCAAATGGCCATAAACTAAACATTTACTTAAATTGCCGAGTAACCATGGCAACAC